ACTAGCAGGCTTTCAAAGATGGTACTACATACAAAAATAAAAAAGAGAATAAAGGCTGTAATTCTTCTTCAAGTTTGTACAGGTTTAGGTTTTTAGGTCTTTGATACTGCAAATATGATTGAAGTTATCTACTTACAAGGTTATTAACCCCTTTAAACACCACTTAAGTTATAGTGACCTGCTGACAGAGGCCCTAAGAAACCTGACAGGGCACCTGGGGTGCTTGGAATTCATTTCTGTGAGACACTGTACTTATCTTTAGTTGTGATTATCTATAGTTCATGAGATTTGCAGCCAAATAAGTGAAACAAGTATCAATAAGAGATTAAACAAACATGTTACAAAAAAAAAAGATGCCCACACTTGTGTTGACCTTCTTGTCCATTAACCAACCAACAAATGGTTATTGAAGACCTAATATGAGCACTTTAGGATTATAAAGAGGCATAAATTAAATTCAGGATTTACCCTCAAGAAATTCTTAATCTGATGCAGACTACAAGGCACATGGAGAGACGATTCACCACCTACACTGGATGGAGTTGAGAAGATCCCAACTCATGGAGCCACATGTGCGCCAGAGTAGAACTGTGCTCTGTAGAATTTTTAATGGCTGATTTTTCCAAAGTAGATCACTAGGTCTTTCTTCTGAGGTGCTTCTGAGTGGACTCAGACCACCAACCTTCTGGTTAGCAGCCAAGTATGTTAACTACTTATACCCCCCAGGGACTTTGGATAGACAAACTCATAGCCTTGGAGTTGATTCTGACTCATAGTGACCCTATAGGACAGAGCAGAACTGCCCCACAGGGTTTCCAAGGCTGTAATCTTTATGGACGCAGACTGCCACATCTTTCTCCCGTGGAGCAGCTGGTGGATTCAAATCACCACCCTTTCAGTTTGCAGCTGAGTGCTTAACCCCTGCGCCACCACAGCTCCTTGGAGAGACACTAAATACTCTTATTTAGTGATCAGGGCTTAAAGACTTCTGAGGAAGTGGAGGGTGCTATGGTCTGACCCAGGTAGGAAGCTTTATGGGAAAAGAGCTAAGGAAGAAGGTCACTATGAAAATCTAGGACAGGAAAGACTGATTTTTAAAAACACAATGACACTACACATTGTAGACATATTATAGTGGAACGGCTCCACCATGACAACCTGGTGATCTTGTACATCTCCACATAAGCCACGTACGCAAAGCTCCATCACAGTCTGTGATCTTCCCAGGAACATGGCAAGATAAGTAGTCTTGTGAGGAGCTTCCCCAGGGAATTCCTTACCCACCTCTCTATCTTGTGGGAAGCTGCCACCAGAACTCATCCCTGGTTCTGGTGAGGCATGGGACTTTCCACCTAGACTGCTTTTGGATACATAAAACCAAAAAAACCCATTGCTATCAAGTAGATTCTGACTCATAGCGACCCTATAGGACAGAGGAGAACTGCCCTGTAGGGTTTCCAAGGGGCACCTGGTGGATTCAAACTGCTGACCTTTTGGTTAGCAGCTGTAACTTTTAACCACTATGTCACCACAGTTTCCTTTGGATACATAGACAAGCTATAAAACTGCTTGGCTATAGTTTAGAGTTGGCTCCTCCATGACAGCGACACTCATCACTTGATCATCGGGTCTCTCTGGTTTGTCTTCTGTGGGACTAGAAATGCAGAAAGCTGATGCCATGCTGATTTTGCTGATGCTGTCTAAGTTGTAAACTGTGTCCTTGTCTCCTTACAGGCCGAATCCATGGAAGTGTGGCAAGCAACCCACCAACTGTAGTAGACTTTTTAGACTTGCTTGATCGAATAACACATACAGGTCAGGGAGGGGTTACGGCGAGTGGCCAGTGCACTGGCAGGTGAACTCACTCCTTCCAAGTGAAGTGGTTGGAAGAAGAATACCAATGCCATTCAGAAAAGGAAGCTGCGGGTTCACAGTACCACAGGCTAGTGCATTGCTATTTGGGAGCTTAAAGGGCATAAATCAGAAAGTGACTTGTCCTAGGGCAGAATAAACCAAGGGTTGCTTTAAAGAAGCCAACTACTGACAAGAGGAAAACCACCATTTCTAATTCAAATTGTGCTCAGCAACCTTCTTCCTTATCTCTGTCCACTACCCACTTCCCTCAACACACAAACAAATGTCCTGGACTAGGAGAAACTATGACTATAATGTAATTAATGAGCCAACACTTAAAAGGAGCATTTGTATGAAGTTTCAGGGCATTTCCATATGCACTTCTATATCTGCTACTGCAAACACATGTAAACAAGATGGGGATTGTTTTATAACATGGGATGAATACCTTGTAGGGAAGCATAAAATAGTAGTCTGGGTAATTAGAGTCTTCTGGAGAAATTTCTTCAGAAAGGAGAGGCTTTGTGCACATGGATTTTTGTGGAAGTTTTTCTCATAATTTGTATATGGATTCTCAGTATGTGCATTAACTATATGTATTTATCTTTAGGTTTAAGACATTATAGCGTACTTGGCATTATTGTATATAATTATATTCTATTATACATTATATGATATTCTATTATATACATAGTACTTGGTGCTAGAGAAGGAATGTTAAGTTAAAACAAAATTTCTTGTAATCAAGTTTTTTGGTACTGAGACGTGCCTCTAGGTCCAGGGTCAGGCAGCAATTTCCTTCAATATATTATTAGAAATCTCTTCCTCTAGTACAATCCCTGGCGTGTATCAAGGGTAAGAGCATAAGCTCTGGGGTAAAAGTACCGAGAACAAACAATGGCTCCATCTTGGGTAACTCTGCATAAGGTACTTAACCTTTGTTTCTCAGTTTCCTCTCTCCTGCCTATGGACTGCATGGAGAATAACAGTGTATAATGGGCTGTGAGTATTAATTAAATGAGATAATCCACACAAAGTGCTTAGCACAGATTGTGCTATAATTATCACGTCAAACTTATTATTACAATGCTGACATAATTTATCATCATTTTTGATAGCAAATGTTACCTGGTCTAACAGAAACTGTATTTTGATCGTCTTGATTCTTGTTTCTTCTTATCTCTTTTTCTATTTTTATGTTCCTTTGATAAAATGCGAATGGTGATTATGGGGTGGTGATGAGCAGAAAAGGAATCATTAACATAATGCTCTGTACAGAATTACAGAGTCCTGGTGGTGCAGCGGTTAAGAGCTACGGCTGCTAACCAAAAAAGATCGGCAGTTCAAATCTACCAGGCACTCCTTGGAAACCCTATGGGGCAGTTCTACTCTGTCCTACAGGGTTGCTATGAGTCGGAATCGACTCAATGGCAACGGGTGTGTTTTTTTTTTTTTTTTTGGTACAGTATTACAGTGGTTTCCAACAATGAAATATTGTATGTGGGTTTCTCTTGACTTTGTAAGAATTGATTGTTTTAAAATATGCTTCAATCGCCAAAATTTCCATGACTTATGACAGCTTGAATATTTGATATTTTGTTCCACAAAACAAATGCAAGTCTCTTTCTTTGTTTCTTTCTGTGTTTGTAAGTGCCATGGTATCACTATCTGACTCACAACACTGCAGATGTACTTCAAGAGATATGACTTTTTAATATTTGAGTTTTTAAAGGCATCTGGCCCTTATTTAACCATCACGTTTACATCCAATTCCTGCAGGCATGATTTTGTTGTTTAAGTTTGGCTTGATGCCCTCTGCAGAAAGTCTTTGCTTTAATGAACACTACTCCACTAAAACTGCTAGTCCCCTGCTCTGCCACCACTGTGCAACAAGAGCACAGAAAGTTTAATTTTGGATTTCCAATAAGAAGACAAACATAAGAAAATAAATTGCTGGAGAATTAGCTTTATGTGGGGGCCACTGCTGAGACATAGTCAACTTGATGTCCTTACATTGCTTGCAGAAGTGTGTATGCACTATGAAATGTTCAGCCAGAGCATACAGGAAACTGTAAAATATTTTATGAGATGTATACATGGTTGATGGTGGAATTTTAAATGCAACCTGGGAAGGTTCTATCTAAATTCCAGGAAGGCAGATGAGAGAATATGTTCTCTGTAATGATTACATTTTACACAAGGGGTTTATATGAACTGGAAAGAAATGTCTGATTTGAGGACTATATAAAAAAAGTAATTTCTAGACAAGTAACCTTATTTTTTTTTAAGACCAAGAATCACCAGTTATGTTTATTTGTCTTCTACATGGTAAAAGCATTAAAGGTAGATTGTTTATTGTTTTGTAGGAAAAAAAAAAAAGAACAAACAGTAATAAATGTAGTAATAAATGAGGAGCTCCTCCCAGATACGGGAATTATGTACACCACTTAAAAAAAATATTTGTGCTTCTGATGGTTTCAAATAAAAACTCTTGGTTCTAAAATTGGAACATTATTTTTGAATCTCAACCATGGCAGTTATGTGAAGGCAAGAAGGCTAATGACATAGACTCAATTGGCATATTCAGACAGTCACATTTCTAAGTTTAGGTGAAGAGAGAAATATTTCTATTTCCTTCACCCTCCCTCTGATCTGGGGGCAGTATTTCCATAAGATAGGCTATTTATTTACTTACTTATATTTTAAATTCTATCTCCAAAGCCAGTTTTGTGTAGTCACATTTGATTTAGAGTTGAGCTTGATGTGTAAGAGAATACAGATCATTTAATTAATATCACAGTCCCTTTGAACAAGACTTTAATACATAACACATGCTTTAGGATATGTCCATAATTAATGTCATTTTTAGAAATTTAGGTTATCTAGGAAAAACATGCTGTAAAACCCCAGCATATACTAGTAATATTCTTATGCAAATCCAGTTAAAAAACCCAAAAAAAACAAACCCATTGCTGTTGAGTCGATTCCAACTCATAGTGACCCCATAGGACAGAGCAGAACTGCCCCATAGAGTTTCCAAGGAAAAGCTGGTGGATTGGAACTGCTGACCTTCTGGTTAGCAGCCATGCTCTTTAACCACTAAACTGAGAATTGAGTCCCTGGATTCTGGTCTGTGGTCTCTCTCATTACTGGGTGATCTTGGGAAAGTCACTTTCCCTGTTTAGGCCTTTTTTTTCTTTTTTTTAAATCTATAAAATAAGCAGTTGTTCTAAATGATCTCTAAGACCATCTTCTGCTCTAACATTATATGATTCTACATAACATTTTAATCTTGAGAGAGCAATTTACTGAAGTCACATTTTCCAAAACATTCATTCTATATATCTTTTTCTATACTTGTTGCTTAAGTAAATTTCATTTCACTTCAAATTTAGTGTTGTGGAGACAGTCAGAGAAAGAACCTAACTGTAGAGAAGGAAAAAGAAAAGAATTAAAAATATTAATATTGAGCAATTATGGGATATCTAGGCTGGTTCAGGATAGACATAAATGACCTTGTTTTATTCCAAATTCAGCTCACTGGCATATGATGAAAAGTAAAATGTTATTATGGGGTCTGTACACTTTCAGCCCAATAACTTTACCTTCAACTTACTGGGCAAAACCAGATTTTATAAATAATTACCTGTCAGACTGTTCAAGACAGACAAACACATGCCAGACCAACAAAAACACAGACCTGTCATATTTCTGAGAGAAATGTACATTGAGTCTTCCTTTTTTGAGACTATAAAGAGATCAGGTAGAATAAAATGAAGGAAAAAAACCTAAACCCTAAGTTTTCTGCCCTGTGTATACTTTAAAATGTATAATGTGGGAGAGAAGGAATTTTGATGTGAAGAATTACCCCTGAAAATTTTATACCATCTATAAGCCTGGCAGATCGAAACCAAATACAATAAATGCTGCTGTTTTAAAAGTTGGGATGTTTACTGCAAGCTTATAATTTTCCATGATTAAGGATGCCAAGAAAAATAAGAATGATGATAAAAAGCAAAGTTTAATCATACATTTCAACAAGCACAGATGGAACATCAAAACCCTTTGGCAATTTTTCAATACTATATATCTGCATGTTTTTGTTCTTGACATGCAGATTTTTTCCAGAAAGACTAACAGAGAACAGGTAAATGATAGCTAACAAATGTGAGTAATATGGCACAATCCTATTAATTGAGACTTCCAATGATTTGGTCACAAGAAGAAAATCTTTCATGTTTCTCATTTCTGTTTTTGTTAATTCTTTACAAAGGCTGTTTCAGTGTGTGTAAAACCATGATAAAAGTAAAATTACACAAAACTCCTACAGAATTAAAGAAATAACTTCCTTTTCTGCAATTCAAGTTTAATCAGGAACTGTACAATTATATCTGCTATATTTTGGGTTGTTCCCAATTACAGTTCCTCGTTTACTAGACAAAGTATAGATGCCAGAAGGGTAGCTCAGTTGCTACCAGCGAGAAATTACCCAGTCTACATTTACAATCTTAGGCAGGGTAGAAAGCAGATCACTCTGCTTCTTCCCTTCTACTGATTCTGATTTTTTGCCTCTGACGGGCATAGCGTGGCGTAGAGGGCCTGGGGGTAGAGGAACAGGGAAAGGAGGGAAATGAAGACGGAGGAGGAGGCTCTGTGTGAGCAAAAACACACAGGATAGGCAGATATGCAGGAAGTTGAGCAGAAGGATTGAAAAATTATACATACACTATAAACTGAGTGAAGGAGACAGAGAATGGAAATAGGCAGTTCATTGGGTCTATTAGTTCTTTGATCAGTATAAGTGTACAATAATTGTTTCTAAAATACACGTAAACATAGTCAACAATTGTTGGAAAATAAAGTTGCTGGGGCAGTGGGAGAGGAAACCTTACTGTCCTTTTAATTTTGTTTCCTCTGTCCCAAACCTGGATTACAAAATGTATCAAATAAAACATAGACTAAACACCAAGGGGCAGGGGGAGGGAAAGACACTGCTTTCAAGATAAGTGAGCTGACGGCAGTAAATCCATTCCAAATTAAAATTTCAAAATTGTGTGATCTGCCTTCTTGTCCACCTACACACCATCCCAGACATCCTGCCATTAATTAGCTAAACAGCCCATTAGTAAACAAGACCAAGCACTGAGGGGGTTGGAAAAGAGCTGGAGTCAGCCAGTTGAAAGTCACAACAAACCAGCCCACTCCCTAGGATACAGAGAAGGTAAACTTGTATTTTATTTTGTCCAAGGAAGGGAGAAGGAATCACCTTAACATAACATCGCCTTTCCTGTTGTTGCAGTCACAGTCACGTTAGCAGGCCAGAAAAGCCATCCCGTTTCTGCGGTAGGCACTCTGTCAAACAAAAAGAAATCTGCAATGAATTATCACATCAAGTCAAACAAGGAAAGGAGGCAAAAAAGCCAGCAGAGCTTTCTTCCTGTTTGGTAGACTCTGTTGGCTACAACCTAATAGGGTGCTTAATCTGAACACTTCTGATGGCAAAGCTAGAGCAACCACTCTGTCTATTAAAAAGTCAGTGTGGTTAACAAGTGGTTAGTGATTCTATTTCTGGGGAGTGGGAGATATGCAAAATAAGACATCCCCTTTTGTTAATTGATTGGGCTTGGTTAGGCCCAAGAGATGTTGTGTTGAATCTGTTTGTCCTTTATAAACATGTGTTCTCTATTCGACATGCTCAAAAATTCACTTCTAACTAAGTATCGTAATAGTCTATAAATTACTGACTTATTATAGCCTTTCCGGGACTAATTTATAGTCTGAGTGAAAAGCTATGGGGATAGACACTAATAGAGGCCTTTCTTCCCCCCTACAATCGGGTGATCTCAAAGGAGTTCTGCACACTATAGACATCATAGAAAACTTAGAGCTTACACAATTTTATATACATACATGTACATATGGATATATATATGGATATGTACCCACTAAAACTCATTGCCATCGAGTCAATTTCAACTGACAGCAACCCTATACGACAGAGTAGACATGCTCCATAGGGTTTTCAAGGCTATAATCTTTACAGAAGCAGACTGCCACATCTTTCTCCCGCGGAGTGGCCGGTGGGTTTGAACTGCAGATGTAACTTTGGGTTAGTAGCTGAGCACTTAAACCATTGTGCCACCTGGGCTCCTTTTGGATATGTACAGCAGGATAAAATATTCCTACAAAAGAAAATGGAAAATGGACACTAATGGACAATAATACAATATATTCTAGTTGTTGTTGTGTGCCATCGAGTCAACTCCAACTCAGAGCAATCCCATGGGACAAGGTAGAACTGCTCCATAGGGTTTCCTAGGCTATAATCTTTATAGGAGCAGACTGCCAGGTCTTTCTCCCACAGAGCCGCTGGGTGGGTTCGAACTGCTGACCTTTTGGATAGCAGCCAACTGTTTAACCACTGAACCACCAGGACTCCTTATATATTCCAGTAAAGAAAGTAAAACTGCATGCTTTTTCATCCCAAGAGATATATATTCTGCACTTCAGAGTTGGAAGAGCTGGACCACACAGCGCCTCTGTGACTTGCTTGTCCTGAGCCTCAAATTGAGACCCAGAGTGAAGCTGACTGAAACCCAGGACTTATGAACAAAATTCTCCTTTCATGACCGTATTTTTCATGATTTAAAGAAATAATAGTTACATTCAGAGAATTCATAACCCTTAATTAGATGGAATTTTTCTACAATCTGTTTTCAGAAAAATGGAAAAAATAATAAGAGAATCTCATATTGGGTTTTTTTTTTCCTTAAACTAATAACTCTGGGTTGTTCTGGGTCTGTACACTTTCAGCCCAGTAACTTTACCTTCAACATCCATATTACAGGAAATATAGAATAAGCTTTTGTGATCAAGATAATACCAAGCAAGCACTAAAGAGTTTTAATCCTAATAAAATATTAAATTACATTTATAATTATACTAAAAAGACAAAGTGGACCCAAGTTTTATAATAGAATGACTTCCATCAACATAAGGTGAAGCAAAAATAGTTTTCTGGATAACCTTCAGTTAATCATAAACGTCAATTAACTTGAAAACCTTCTCTCCAAATATTCTGGTTTTCAGGGGATTAACTATGGTTGTCAGGCTCTGGAGCCCTGGTGGAATGTTCATTGGTTGATTGTGCTGCTCTGCAGTTCAGTCCTGATCAGCGTATCAAGGACGGAAAACAGTGGCACATCTCAAGTCTCATTTCTCAGCATTCTCTCTGTGTGAACTTGATCCTCACCATCGGACTTCTGGTGCTGTAGAACACTCCTGGATTGAAGCAAACATTCTAACAAGGACTAGAAAATTCCACCTCTACTCTGTGAAGGTTGTGCGCTGGGGAACGGTGTTAAATAAGTTCTTCAGAGAGCCACAAATAACTTGCAGGCATGCATACAGTGTCTTTCCACAACCACCGGCAGGGGAGCCTCAGGCCTTGAAACAGCCCCTACTACCAAGGCTGCCTTAGAGAGGCTTATGCCAAAGTAATATTTTCAGCTTCTTGACCCTGATATTTTAAGTTTTATAACCACAGTGACCACCTTTAACATAACATAGTATTTAAAGCACAGGGATGGTTTACATGGAGATAAATGGACCTGAGAGTAAAGTTGGATTCCTCGTAAAGGTAAACGGTTGAAGTGCGCCCTGCTTGGGAAAGAGGTGTTGGCTCAGGGGAAGATGGGTCCCGGCTGAGCTCACCTGAGAAATAACCAAGCTTAACCTTTCCAAGCCAGACAACATGAAATGGTTCTCTCTAGTACCCAAAAGTTTGCTTTTCAGAGATCAGTTCTTCATAGATGATTTATCACCATTCTTTGCAAACAACTAAAAGATTACAGTCTTATCTAATAACGTATATCCTTAAGTAGCCAAGTCGAATGAGAAAACCAAAGTTTAGAGCTGTCCCCAATTTTTGGAATGAGCTCTTCCTATTCTAATTCTAAAATAAAAAGGAATAAATACGCATATGTAATTAGTGAAGAGCAATTTCAGCAAGCCAACCCCCTATAGTCCTCCACCCTGAGTCATTGCTTTTTTCCTTTTGATGTACAAAGGATGTATGTTGTCTCTGTAAGGCGATTATGGGACCATCCCAAATTTGGCATTCTTTCCAGAGTAAGCAACTAGATATGAAGATGAAGATAACTCATCTTTGTGCCAACTGTGAACTTCTGTCTATTTGTGTTGGGAATGTTGACACTAAATTTAAACACTTCTTGGTGTGAGGACCCTCCGGAGGCCACGTTCCCATGAAACACTTTGTATCCCTCTTACTTTCTTCTGTCAGAGCCTATGAATGATTCCTTGTTCCATATTTTAACAGACACTCCCAGTTAGTAAAACCCAGATCTTGACCAGAAACAGCCGGGACCTCTACCCTGTTAAAAATCATGAATTAATAACACAAACAGACTTCCCCAGAAAATTGACTCCTACATGGCTATATGCCACTTAAGCTTTAATTTTGATTAAATAAAGCTTTGTTCTTGACTACTAGTTGTCCCTTATGTGAATCCGTTGAAAAGCCCAGGCATTTTGAGCCTAGGCTCCAAGTTAGCAGCAGAGATATTTATCTTTTTAAAGGACTAATTATAGTCCCTAGATTCTTTATAAATTGAGGATCAAGCAAGCTCCCAATTTTTGACATTCATCTATTCATGCAATCCCAAAATATGATCTTTCACCAGAACATCTGTCTGTCTAGATAAGGAGATTCTCCCTAATGCACTGGGCATTGGTGGGGAAATTAACTCATAAACATACAGTTTTAAATTATAACTTGGTTTTTTGCTTACCTACATATGGACAAGCTAGAGAACACATTACAATCTCAAACTGGCTTACTTTTACTTTCCATGGGTTTTTATCAGTTAGTATATTTTGAAGAACACAAATTAATATTAAAAAGCAAAAGCTAAATATTTACATAAAGCAAAAGACGATAAATATGCTACAAAACCTATCCTATAGTTCTCTAAGTTAAACACAATTATGTGTTTATGTGTTATTTGTGCCATTAGCCTAATTAATAAAGAGTTGTCTAGAGATAAAACCACCCCTTTCCTCTAGTTCAGATGTATATTTTATTCTCACTACTACTTTTCCTATTATTTTCTGCTTTTTCATACTTTAAATAAAGTAACAATCTCACTGTAGCAGGTCCCAAATTCACTTACAAATACTTCATTTTTCAAAGGTCTAACAAAAAGTATTTTTGCAACTATTGTCTGAATTCCTATAAATTTGCTTAATTTTATTTTAGCAAATCTTTGAGCTCTTACCCTGTATAAACCACTGTGTGCTTGGTGGTATAAAGGATACCAAGACAAGGCAGACAGTCCTGCCCTCACAAGGTTCCAAGTGAACGCTGATGTTGTAACTACCACAAGTGACATGCACTGGGGGTGATTCGCAAAGGTTTGAGGAGGGAGAAAAGAACGTAGACTTTTTGTTTGCTTGTTTTGCTTTTAATCACAATAATTAATTTCAAATAACATTTTTAAAGGGACACAAGATTTGTATACTTCTCAAAGCAGGGAGGAGCAAAGATTAAAAAATGCTGAGAAACATGGTTTTATGGTTTATGAAGTACTTTCATGTCCAGGTATAATTTGAGCCTTACCACAACTAGTAAAAAAAGACCTTACTATTCTCCTTTTTAAAGCGACATGACTACTGAGGAGTAGATGAAGGATTCAAAACCCAAGTCCTGTATTCTTTTCATTATACCACATTGTCTTACATTAAACAAAACAAAAACTCCTGAGATCTGGCATAATTTATTCCACCCATATTTTTACAGACACACATATTCTCCCAGTCCTAACAAACTCAATTCTTGCTAAACATCACTTAAAGGGTAAATTAAAATTTCATTTCAAATTTAAACCAGGCGGTACAACACTTCAGAGTGCAAAGAGGGGGTCTGAATTGAAAAGCATCTTCACTTTGGAGGCATTCTTAAGTAGTGCTTATTTTCCAAACTAACTGTAAGAATAGTATACAGTATAGAAGACTGCATCCAAATCCCTTGGAGAGCTTTAAGAAATACAGATACCCCGGGCCCCACTCCTTTGGAGTCAATTGCTCTGAGTGGAGTTCAAGCTTTGGAAAGTTTTCTAAGCACCCCAGGTGATTGGGATACACAGTGAAGGCTGAGCACTGTGGTAGAGTCAATGAATATACCATTAATAGGACCCCTGAAAAGGTTCTGTCAGCAAATGGAATCTTTCCAGAATCTGTCATGACTATGCAGTAAATGATATTTCTTAATGGAAATCCTAATACTGTCATTCAATAAATTTAATGCGGAAGAGATAGAAATTAAGGTTTTCAGA